CTGGAGGGCCATTCGTCGTGTCTCGTGAAGTCAGGCAGATGCTCGGCGCACCACTCCTGGACCATCTTTGTCTTGTATGCTGGAGCAGAATCTGCTGGAAGCACCAGTAGGCTTCTCCGAAATGGGAGTTGGCCCACGGCTTGAGAACTTCCTCCAGGATATTTTTGTAAACCTCTGCGTTGATTTTTACACCAGCTTCAACGAAAACAAGTGGGGTCTTCCCCGTAGAGGTGACTCCTCCCCAAACAAGAATGGACTGGGGGTGTTTCGCTCTTTCCTGGAGTCTTGCCTTGGTGGTAGCATCAGCAAGTGATCCTGCAATAATCCTCTCATTTTGGGAGTTGAAGGCTGGATTCAGAGTAAAAATCTTTTCATCACTGAAAACGATGTCTCGGGCGCGTGCCACCGTGAATCGCTGCAGCAACTTCTTGCATCTCTCCAATCTCCTTTTCTTCATAATGTCCGTCAGGAGTTGGCATTTCTGCAAGCGATAGGGGAACTTCCTTAGCTTACTTCTGACAATCCTCCTCATTGACCTCGCGCTTACTCCAACGTCTTTCGCCATCTGGCGCATCGATCTCCTGGCGTTCCTTCGAATTCTTTCTCTGACGAGCCTCACATTTCTCCGACTCGTAGCTGTTGTGGGACGTCCTCTTCCTTCCCTGTCCTCTTCGGTCTTCAGTTCTTTATAGCGTCGTACTGTATTCTGAACCGTCCTTCGAGGTACGGAAAGGATCTTCACAATTTCTCTTGTTTGCTTGCCGTCGTTGTGAAGTTTGATGATCGCGCTCCGTAGGTCAGAACGACGGACCATTTTGTATTCGAGTACGTAGGAATTACGCAACCTCCAGGCAACATATCACAAGCGAGTGAAACAGGAAAATCTCCAAGAAGTGTTAAAAAATTCAAAACGTATAGGTGCACCAGTAATTTTGCCCCACCCTGTATTTGTAGAATGATGAAGTCCTAGTCGATCGTGCTGAAGTAAACTTGCTGAAGAGTTAATGCCGAGTTCTTACATACTGCTAAATGCTGAGGAAACCTTGAAGCTTTCGTAAACGTTACCTTCTCCGCAGAGTTTGAAGACTTCTGTAAATTAGTGAACGCGAAACCTGGCTGCGCCGTATGTTATCCAGACACTTCAGTAAGCGTAGGTCAAGCGTACTGAACATTCTTCGAAACCACCTGCTTTCATCGCTGTACTTCATCCCACGTGCCATTCCTGTTGAAGATGACTACGAGTGAATAATTTGTAGATAACCGTCAGCAGGCAGGTTGGGTAACAGTTACTGATCACTTCTTAGACTGCAGCACAATCGCTTTCTCGTCCACGAAACAGTACTATGCATGCTAACGGGTAGCGCTTTGAGAACTGAGGTAAGGATGACGACTGGAGGTAAATCCTTCGTGTATTCCGGTCTGACCGTGTTGGGATCAAGCGACGTATGATCCTTCACCAATGCAATCGCCTGTTGCACATCAGGGTAAAGTGGTTGACTTCTAGACTTCTTTCGTAAGTGATTGTTCATAAGGACATGGGGCTGGCGTAGTCTCAACTGAACACATTGACGACAGTGCGACGTGCATGCACCTCGCACTTTGACGGTCGCATGGACTCATGCGATGCGCAAACGCTTCGCACCTATGTCATCTATTTTTCACGCTTGCGCGCCATATTTATTCTATATTGATCATTCTACAAATCACCACGCAGCTGTAAACGGAGGATGGTCAAATATGTTTTCGTTTGGTTAAGGATTGTCGAAACTGGAGGAAAATGTAGTGGAGAAGGGGCGAAAGGGAAGAGCAAAATCAATTGCCAATAAAGCGAGGTTCAGAACACCATTGCGGTTCCTATTCGAGCGATCTGGATCACGATAGCGACTCTACCGTAAAAAGGCCACACATTTCGTGGCCATAACGCATTCCACGAAGTGAGGGAGCCTCACAATTCGCAGTAGCCGCCAGCAGTAATACCTGCTCTTTCTCTCGCATTCAGTTTTGCTACTGTTTAGCGTCCTCCGCTATTAGCTTATTGGTGCTTGCCGGATAGAACTGGTTTGTTTTGAAATGATGGCTTGTGTGTTATGCATGAGTCGACTTCGAAGAAGGGTCCAGAAGAATGCTAGGAAGTGCTATAGAACAAAATTCGGGATTTCTAAAAGACAAAATTTAGCTATTCTCCGTCAAACATGCTTGTTATGCTTTCTCCTTCAAGCGCGGGCTTATGCAGAAGTGGCGGTGTGTTTTGACTGGGCTAAAGCGCTAACAGGGAGGTCTTTCAGGGCAAGGGGTGCGCTTCTCAAATACACAGGTACTGTGGCATATTGTAGGGACGCAAGATAGGGACGCAAAATCAGTTGCGTAGGTTTCGCTGCTGAAACGTACAGAGTGAACGGAGCAGCACCAAAAAAGAAGCATAAGGTACTGTTAAGGGTTCGATCCCCCGTGGCGACTAAATTTTGCATTTGGGTTGGCGCCTACGGTTTGGTGCCAAATCGCGCTAAATATCAAAATCAGATGTCAAATTCATCGTCAGGACCATTTTGAAGCCAACAAGTGGCCGCCAACCTTGATTGCAAAATTTAGTCGCCGCGGGGGATTGAACCATCAAGAGTATTATTCACCACTTTTTTGGTACTACTAAAACCGTTCAGCGAAAACGAAACATGGTTTTGTGGTCCATACATGCGTCCCTACAACATGTACTAAACCGTTTCCAAAAAGCGCACCTTGCCCTGAAAGACCTCCCTTGTAAGAGTCAAGGGCGGAGCATTGGCGCCGCCCCAACCCCTTTGAGCCCGCCCAGTGCTCCACGTGACCTTCCAAACAACCACCTGAACAGTAGATGTCAAGCCGTTGTTTGGAAGTCGTAGGAGAATATTTAGCGGATTTCAACTGCGAAAATCAACATCAAAGCCTATGTTACGACCATTTCGAGAACGTTGTCATTCATTCTAGTGAGAATAAAATTTTTAAGATAGGAAGCAAACAAAAAAGCACAAATAAACAAAAAATAAGATAACTAGAAACAATCATTTTCATTGCTGAGTTTTTATGGCCGTTTTTATGGCATAGAGCCAGCAGTTGCTGTAAACACGTCCGGACACCTACTAGCCCTGGCTCAAAAACAAAATTCGGAATCGAACTGATGCATTATTGCGCTCGCAAGTGGCAGTGGAGATACGATGTATAACGCCAGTAATGAAAAAAAACGGCAAGAAACCGCCGAAAGAGCGAAAATAAAATCCCTGTCTCTACAGGGTGGTCCAAAATTATGAGGACCGCGTGCGCGCGCAGTCATATCCACTTTTTTCCGTATCGCTCCATTTTCATCTCGTTTTCTGTGCACTATGTGAAAGGGTACAATGTCTTCTTCCTAATGAAACCAAATTTCATGAAGTTCTCAAAACTAGTGAAATAACTACTTCACTTTAGTCAGTCCTCAAATTGAACTCACTAGGGGCTCTGGCACGTTACATCTAGCAGCAGTCTAACCTATCAGAGAAGCTCTTATGAGCAACAGTTCAACTCTTCAATAAGTTTGGAACCACCACAGATGGAAAATTCGGGGACTCGAAAGTTACAGTTACCACCAGGATAATTATCAGATGCAGAAACTAGGTCTCCCCTTGTCGACTTTCGTACACCCAAAATGAAAAAATTGATGTGAAAACCCAGCCAGACACTCTAAAGACTCCACATCTGTAGTGGATAGAAAGCCACACGAGTAGTCTACTTGGGACTTTTACAGGACCGAGCACCCAAGAATAAAGCAAAAATCTCTAAAAGCGATTTTTCGAGTTCGTTGCTTTCGAAGAATTGTTACAATGGAACCTCCACCTAATAGCTCTAGATTTCTGTATTTCACACCCTGGATGCAAGCGCAAATAAATGCCCACAAAAGTTTGATTCCCTGAAGAAGGCAGAGCAGAAGGCCTGGAAACATTTGGACACGCCTCAGTTGCGTGCCACCGCACGCGCCATCCCCCTCATCCGAAGGCTCGTGTTAACGGGGCAAGTGGCAGATCTCAATTCTATTCTGGAATTACTTTGAGGTAAGAGTTACAAATACTTCCCAGAAGTTGGTTTGTTCCATCAAGCTACTATGCGTTTTTAACGACACAATGTCTTGGTCCTCATAATTTTGGACCACCCTGTAGTAACGGCGAACCGAAATGGCACTGATTTGTGGATGATGTGATGTAGGGCGGGGCTAATGGTGCATCCTGGAGCTTTAATCATTTCGCAAGATTCTACATGCTCGATGCTTGTGTACCGCTGTGTTTTCTTTTTCTCGGGAAAGGGCTAAAGTTCGACAAGAAATCCCGAACCTTGCTTTCAAGCAACTAACGAAGAGAGAGTTCTAATTTTGGACTTTCTTGGGAGTATAATTTTCTGCTTTTTTCTTTTGCTTCGTTTCACTCAGCACACAGTACTCTGGAGAAGTAACTCTCTCATTTCACTTCGGAGTTTGCCTTTAAGGCGCTAATTATACATTGATCCAGAGATGATGATAACCAAGCAATGCGCACTTCAAAAACATCAAAGGCCCTCATCGAGAGAACTTTGGGGAACTTCTTAAAACTTGGTCTTCACGTTGCGGGTGAGTTTCTTTTTCATTGATTACGATGACTCATGTCACTGAAGGTCGTAGATTTGTTTCGAAGCATTTAGATCGTTGGTTTGGCTACTTGGGTAGCTCAAATTCCCAGATGAGGGATTCTGGCGCGTACTTCATGGAGAAGTACTCTCGATCGCAACTTAGAGAATATAAAGAGATCTTCAATCGTGACCCTCCGCCTAATTGGCAACCCAAGATTGATGACGCTCGCGTAAGTCTCGGAAGGTGAGACGTTGATTTATTAACTTTGGCTCGGATTAATTGATTTACCTATAGCTGGGGTAGACTGCCGAGTGGAATCAGGCAAATAGACACCAAGAAAGTCGTTTGAAATGTACCATATTCATGCATGACGATAGCGCCAGTCAGATTTGAGTCAGTGACATGTTGTCACACTTTCGACCTTTAATTAGAACGGACGTGAGTAAGACCGCTCTGCATGCACACGAAATGCAACGCCATTGGTGACGCTTGCTCCCAAAGCCACTTATTAGTCCATTTCAGTTGTTATCACTCCGGTCATCCGGAAGTGGCGCGTGGCACTACTTACCACGCCTGCAGTCCGGGGGTTGTACGTCGTCTGATCGTCCGTACCAACCGAACCTTCCATCCCTTCGGGGTCGCTTATTTGATTGTCGGGAGCATAAGAGCACTGGCATCGGCTGGCCCTTGCAAGTAATCCCACGATCCAAGTTGTACTTAGATTGACACTATTCTGAATGGGGGTAGAACGCGTGGCGCATTCCACATGGATTTATCAAATGATTTATCCTTTATTTTTTAATCATTCGCCGCCTATGTACCGTTCTATCTCCCTCCCTTATGAGATCCTCCCTCTGCGACTACAACGAAGAGGGAACTATGAATTTGCCCGTCAAACATATCAAGTCACACACGAAGAAGTTCTCGAGAGAAAATTGGTAGCTGTTAAGGTTCACCACTATGGAGAGCATTCCAAAACTTATGGCGCGTCTCGGTCAGTGCTTCACGCAAAGCATGGTAAGTAATGATGTTGTTTTTCTTCTGCAAGAGGTGGAAGATGTTTTACCAATATGTTAATTGTATGATTCTTAGAAAACAAGCGTTCCTCTCCGTCGAGAGCAATATCGTACAGATTACGACTTTATTGGTGGAAGCAACAAGCAAGGGTGAGTACGTTTTGAAGCATTTGAATAGCGACTGCAATCAGTCTGCTCGCTATCGAGGATGGAACGTGTGTTTGCGAGTCATCTGAGGCATCAGGCTTGGTCCTTAAACCCTTTCCGGACCGCCTGACACACATGGTGTGTCAGGAACTTCAAGAGCTGATTTTTCCAAGAGTTTGGTTTTTCGATAAAATATTTTATGTTGTTACATACCTATGTAACAGACTCATGCCATATGTATGAAAAAACCTAGACTTTAGGTTTAATCTAGGTTCTAAAATAACCAAAGAGTAAATGGACTTCCACTTTGGGCTCAAAGAAAACAGTTGTAGTTCGCTTGAAAACACTTAAAAACGAAGAATTTGTGAAATATCCTGCTCGTCGTATCTGATTCTTATGGATCCAATCGTTTTGGGCACGTTCTACTCCCTTTTTCTCCATACCAACTTATTTTGAACAATTTTCGTCCCTTCCTCCCTTTTTTATGGCCCTTTCCCTTTTTTTGCAAAACAGTTTTCTGTCAAATTAATCTTATATATTCTTCGAGACATGACAAAGACATAAACGAGACAAAATAATGGCTTTAGTGGGAATACAGATTAAATATATGATATTTATGCTTGCCGCGCAGCATGCGGCCGTGAGCGCAAAAAGTGCGCGGTCCGGAAAGGGTTAATGCTACGAGTTATGTAATACGTGTGTTTGCGAGTCATCTGAGGCATCAGGCTTGGTCCTTAAAACAGCCATCTCTATGTCACTCGCTATCCATTATTAAAAACGCAGTCTGCATCTGCTTATGGGCCAATTGTTTCTGAGAATGAGTTCGATGGGGTTGTAACTGTGAAACTAGTGCTCTTTCTCAACTCAAAATGCCTGACTAAGGTGCTAACCACAGATGGTCGAAACAGGAGAGATGGCGACATTATGAGACGCTAGGTAACGAATGGCCGTGGCACGGTATATGAGTCCTGTCTGTGTGCAGGTCATCGTTACCGCGTCTCGACATCAGCCATGCTCTCTTATTTCGACCGTCTGTGGTGTCGATCAAACGTCCAGTGTTTTACCGGTAGGAGGTGCTGCATCCATGCTTATATCCGTATAAGGGTTCATCCCAATGACTCCAAAAAAATAACCTAAGATCTTACGAGATCCAACGAATGGTACAATAGGCTTGAAACTCATTACAATGGAATTAGAAGCAGGAAAATGAGCTACACTAAGGAACCAAACGCTCTGACGGGAATAAGCCGAAGGGCACAACTAGATGGAAAATGTGATCTCTGTAAGCGAGCTAATTATCCCCAGGATAGAGCAAGGATCCTCGCTGTAGTCCTCCGACATGGCAGATCGTCGATTTCTGCGTCACTTCCCTTTGGTTTTGGCGCAACGCCCGCACGAAGTTATTACGAGTCTATGAAGACATCGAGACGCTGTGCGTCTGCATGTCGGGTCTTATGAGAGGTGGCTTTCGAGTGAAGTCTCTAGGCTTTCACATTTTTCGTGTCAAATCAAATAGGGTGGGCATGTGGTATGATAGTTCGTACCATCTACCATATTTACAGGCGAGGGAAATCAAGGGATTAATGAGTGCTTTTCCTCCTCTTTTGCGCCCCTCCACAGCTCATCCGCACTCGGAGGCAAACCGTGTATTGCGCCGCTGGACATGTCCCTTGCGATCGAGGCCAATGAAGCGTATCCTATCCGGTCTGTGGGCAACATGAATAGTTTGAAGCGCCTCAGTTGATGTTCTCGTCTGCGCCCTCTCGCTAAAGAGCGGCTCATGATTAATCATGGTGTCTCACAGAAATTGTAACTTTGCCAACACTATTATTGCTCACATGCCCCCTCGCATCCACTCCAGACTTAGTCGCAGGTTTTTCCGATCCTGTCGCCTGCTTTTCGTTTTAGAAGGCAACTACAAAGGCAACTCTTCCTTAATCGTCTGGTGCTTCTAGGTATCAAGGCGATCGAAGAGAGGCATAGGCGGAAAGTTTCAAGTGCGAGATGCTAAGGCCTAGTAACATACCTAAGATCTCTTCCACTCAACACAACAAGAGCGTGTACGCACCCGCCGCTGATAACCATCACACCGGAGGCTTGGGAGTTGCGCTAACATAGGACCGCGTCACCTGAAGCTGCGTGATGGTGTGGCTGAGGGCCGCTGCCCTCCCCGCTGAGACACTCTTTTCTCTGAGGAGTAGCGCTGTCTGGAGTCTAGAAATGCAAAGTATGGCTGGTCCTACAACGCAAAACGCTGTGCCTCGCAACCATAAGATAGGATCAGTGGGGGGGGGGGGGGGGCGCACCCTTAAAGGAAGAATGGGATACGACCAGTAGTCAGTCCTATGCGTCTGTGGCTGACAGTGAGCTTATGGTCTGTCTTCACAGGAAAACGCGAGGGGGTTCCCCCGACAAGAACGTCTCCTTCCTAGCCCCTGGGTGACGGAGCGCTCGCCATAATCCGACCACCGTGCCTTCCTTGTTCCCAGTCTAGTACCACTCTTTGTTAGGATTCTGTCGGCGTATGGAACCCTCGATAATTGTATCTAACACCAGCGCGAGGCATAGTATCAGGTTACGCACCCCATGATAGTGCCGCCTTTTTTTCATACGGAAGACTTCTGCTGACTGTTCTTTCATCACCTCAAATCCCGTTCGAAAGTTATGTGTCGCTCTATGGAAGCGTATTTTTCCCTTCCACATTGTTTGCGAAATTGTTGAATTCTATGTAGAGCATCGAAATGAAAGGAGGTCGCAGGGGTTGGGAATTAGCAAAACTGACAGCTAGCTCTTACTCTAATGTTTTCCTATGAAAAATTATTCAGTGGTGAACCATCAACTTAGTCAATAGCTTTCCCAAACTACGCTACGCTATTAAATTGTTGAAAAAGCCGTGAATATTATCTTTCCTTTCGAATTTGCTTTTTCTGGTCGAGCGCTATGCCATAGCAGTTTTTGAACTGAAATTTCTCCTCTGAATTTCACTGTTTATATCAAGTTGATTTTGTTCTGACTTATTTTACAGTAACGCTCAAAAGTTTTGAGTGGAATACTTCTTCGACTGTAACTTTTTTCTCCTGAATCAAATCGATTTATTTTTTGATATGTCCAGAGGCGAACCTCCTTCACTAAATAGGTTCATTAGTGTTGAATGGAAGCAAGAATTCATCAAGAAAAAAATTTCCCCAGTGGAAATTGCGGAAATTGGTGAGCTTGAGTATGGCCAAATTCCCAGTAAGTTTCAAATTATTCTAAAAAGCTTACAATTCAACAAAACAATCGATCACATCATAGAAAACTGAGCAGATTCAATACTTCGTCAGTGAATCTTCTGGAGATGTTGAACCTTCAACAGGGCCTAAACGTGGACAGTCAACGAATACACTGTCTATTGGGGCAACCTCTTCAGTTTTCCTCGAATTACCAGTTTCTCGTTCATATTCCTGAATCTTATTCATGCCAAGGGTTTCTCCATGCTCCTGCCCCATAATGATGCGATGGCGCTCAGGGAATGTGTCTGGGTTGGTCCCTTCGTTGAAAGCGCGCCTGCTGGTGGGACACTCCTTCTCAGTGGAGAAGCGATGAATTTGGTCGCTCCATTGCTAGAACACGAAGACGTCTGCGTGCAATTGTCATACGTATGGATACACAGCAATCTCTAGAACCTAAATGTATACGTCTGCCTTCACCAATTCGCGACCTGTGAATTTGCCCGACTGTGAAGCTGGTAGGCACGATGGAGGAACGGTTTACGCACACCTGAACTGAAGATCCCCGTAGAGCTCTAACGTCATCTAGAGCGACAAGAGTAAGTTTATCATGTCTGGCGGTGGTGACGGTAGGTATATGTGGAGTCCTGGCGAATAACGTTTCGATTCAAAGGACCAGCTGCCATCCTTGAAACTAGATGGAGACTTGGTTATTGCGGAGCTGAAGAAAATGTACCGCTGCATAGCATTCGAGAAGGGTGAATGATGACATGGTAGATAGATTCTAGGAAATTTTCGTTTCCATAAGTATGGGAGGCTCATCCAGAAGACTCGCAACATATTTTTAGAAAGGCAGAAGTATCAGTTATCGCTGAGGACATATTTTTACTTTTCACCTTCGGTCTAGGGTAATGTGCGGATACCGGATGGGCCATCCTGCTCTTGGAAGCCCAACAATGGCTTATTGTTGGGACATCTTTCATAATATTCGCTAAGTCACGTCTATGCTGCCCTGCACTTGGACTTCCATTTTATCGGACCCAAAAATCCGAAAAAGTAGTTTCTTGCTTGGGGATGTCGGTTGGAGGGGACATGCCAACCGCTCCTCGAAGGTCGTAAAAGGAGTCAGGATGTTTCGGAATGTCATTCTTCTCAAGCTTGCTTGGCTCCAACAACGCTAGAAACTTTGGATAATAATGCTTCGCAAAGTTTGCATTACAACAATTTCAATTTCGTGTTCTATAATGTAGAGTTTGAAAATCTGTCTTATGGAGATAATTTTTCCTTTTTACATGGATTCATTCTAAAAGTGCATAGTACTTGATGCTTAAAGCAACAGTCCAGGCAGGGTTTCAACTACTTGGTCATTAGGCGGTCAAAACATGCCCCAGCCCAACTAAAGTTTATAGGAAATGTCTTTAATTTCAAAACCTACCTCTAAAATGCGCTGGAAGGGGTCGAAGTCCTCTTGGAGGGCGGATCACCCATAAAGAGGCGGATCGCCCAACATACGCTGTGCAGAGTCCGCGCTTGACTAGCGGTCGTTGCGGGACCGCCGCGCTGTATGAGGTCGATTCCATAAGAACGCAATTGAAGCGCTTCAATTTCGATTGCTGGCAAATAGTTATGTATTTGCAAGCATGCAGCTATTTGCCAGCAGTTGCAATTAAAGCGCATGTACTACGGGCAGGTTCGGACAACTCGTCCAACACACGTCTCCCTAAACGGCAGGGCATGTCCCTGTCTAAGCCCCAGTTGGGCGTTTTCTTCACTTTTTCTCTTTACGTTCGACCACTTT